GTGTTTTTGAAAAGGGAAGCGCTGCCAAATATTCAATTTGTTTTGGCACATATGGAGGTTAACTCTGGGGAGCACGGTGGGTTGCTTGAGGTAAAATAGCCGTGTCGCGTTATAGAATACTTGTTTTTGCAAGGACGTTGCCTACGGAAATGCACGGTGGCGCGCGCCACACCGCAGGCAGACCACGGGCACACCGCCAGCACGCTGAGCAAAACAACGAACTGACACGCATGTGGACGTGAAACCACTGTCGTGAAACCACGCAAACGTCTGTGCTTTTTTGGTGTGCCGGCGGGATTCGTTTTGCAGTCTTGCGCGGGGGAATCGGCATCGATTCCTTCAAAGAGAAAGAACATTGTTCCCCCAAGTCAACCTGCAAAACGAGTCCCACAAGCACACCAACAAACATGCAAACATATCGCAAACATCGCGTATGTGTTTCCACCTGTTCGTGCATGTCGGTGCGTTTTTGTGCCCAGTGTGCTGATTGTGTGCCCGTGGTGTGCTTGCGGTGCGGCTTCCGAATAATCGTTGAAGTAAGATGTCCCACGATTGTGCTCATTCAAACGAGAGAACTGCAACCTAAAAAATCGTTTCCGTTCTGACCGAGGAGTGGTTATCGGAAGCCCGAGAAACATGCCATCATGTGGGCTATCCTGTGTTCGAGCAGGTTGCGCTGGGCCTAGCAACATGTTCAGATCCATAGGGGCATCAGCAAGTTCAGGATTCTGTATCAAACCTGTTTCTTGCGTAAACTGTATTGCTCACGTCGGGTATCGCGCGCCAACTTGTATGCCACCTTGGAGCACGCGACAGTGTGTCCGGCGCAGTGTGTAGTTATAGGTGAGCATGCGGGTAAATTGTTGTTGATGTTTGTTTTGGTTGTGTTCCTTACTTGGGCTGTCTCGTGCAGTCTTGGATGCCGTTCTGCCGCGTGGGTAGTCACGCGTTCCGGAGCGACCCCATAACAGACAGATGCGTGCGCTGTGAAATAGATGCATGCGCTGCGCGCGACGCAGCTTGCGCGGGTGAAAAATTCTCGCCATTGTGCGATAGTAGTAGTAGTAGTAGTAGTAGTAGTAGTAGTAGTAGTAGTAGTAGTAGTAGTAGTAGGTAGTAGTAATGGTAGTAGTAGTAGTAGTAGTAGTAGTAGTAGTAGTAGTACGAGTCGAAGTAGTAGTAGTAGTAGTAGTAGTAGTAGTAGTAGTAGTAGTAGTAGTAGTAGTAGTAGTAGTAGTAGTAATAGTAGTAGTAGTAGTAGTAGTAGTAGTAGTAGTAGTAGTAGTAGTAGTAGTAGTAGTAGTAGTAGTAGTAGTAGCAGTAGTAGTACGAGTAGTAGTAGTAGTAGTAGTAGCACATGTACAATTAGCACTAGTAGTTGTAGTAGTGGTGTGAGAAGTAGTAGTAGTAGTAGTAGTAGTAGTAGTAGTAGTAGTAGTAGTAAAAATGGTAATCAAAAACGAATCGTAGTCGTAGTAGTAAGGTCGTAGTAGCGATAGTAGTAGTAGTAGTAGTAGTAGTAGTAGTAGTCGTAGTCGTAGTAGCAGTAATGGTAGTGGTAATAGTAGTAGTAGCAGTAATGGAAGATCTGGTCATAGACGCAGCGGTAGTAGTAGTAGTAGTAGTAGTAGTAGTAGTAGTAGTAGTAGTATTGATAATCATAGTAGTAGTAGTTGTAATAGGTGTAGCTGGGGTTAAAGCTAAACAGTAGCAGTGCAGGTCGTAGTCGCACCAATCGAAATAGTCAAAGTGGTTGTAATTCTACTCGCAGTAGTAGTAGTAGCCATAATAATGGTTAAAAGTAGTCCTAGTAGTCGGAGGCGATGCAGTAGCAGTAGTAGTAGTAGTAGTAGTAGTAGTAGTAGTAGTACTTGTAGTCGTAGTACTAGTGGCCGTAACTGCTGTTGATCTAGGAAGTAGCAGGGGTAGTAGTAGTAGTAGTAGTAGTAGTCGTAGTAGTAGTAGTAGTAGTAGTAGTAGTAGTAGTAGTTGTAGTAGTAGTAGTAGTAGTAGTAGTAATAGTAGTCCTAGTAGTAGCAGTAGTAGTAATACGAGTAATCGTAGCAGGGAGAATAATACCAATAATAGCAGAAGCAATCGTAGTAGTAGTACGAGTACTCGTAGTAGTAGTCGTAATAGTCGTATTCGTAATACTAGTAGTCGTAGTAGTAATAATACTAGTAGTAGTCGTAGTAGTAGTAGTAGTAGAAGTAGTAGTAGTAGTAGTAGTAGTAGTAGTAGTAGTAGTCGTCGTATTGATACGAAAGTCGAAGCATAAGCCGCCGAAGTCGCAGTAGTAGCAACGACAGGAGCCACAGTAGTAGTAGTAGCAGTCGAATAGGTGGTAGTTGTAGTAGCCATAGTGTTATACTTGTAGAAGTCGTATTATTATGAGTGGTGGTAACACTATTTGTAGTAATAATACTAATCTTCGTAATCATGATAGCCGTAATAGTAGTCTGAGCCGTTGTAGTAGTATCCGTAGGAAAAGCAATAGTCGTAGCAGAGCCAGAAAAATACTAGTAGTCGCCAGAACAGTGGCAGTCGCAGTGGTAGAAGTCGTAACCCTAGTTGTTTACTAATGGTGATGGCAGTACGAGTAGTAGTCGTAGTCGTAGTAGTCGTAGTAGTCGTAGTGGTAGTGGTAATAGTAGTAGTAGTAGTAGTAATAATAGTAGTAGTCGTAGTAGTAGTAGTAGCAGTCGTAGTAGTAGCAGTAGTAGAAGTCGTAACCCTAGTTGTTTACTAATGGTGATGGTAGTACGAGTAATCGTCGTAGTCGTAGTAGTAGTAGCAGGAGGAGTAGTAGCAATAATAAAAGTAGTAGCCGTAGTAGTAGTAGTAGTAGCAGCAGCAGTAGCAGTAGTACTAGTAGTGGTGGTAGTAGTAGTAGTAGTAGTTGGAATCGTAATAGCCGTAGTCGTAGTAGTAGTCGTAGTAGTAATGGCCGTAGAAGTGGCAATGGTAGCAGTCGTAGTTCTGGTAGTAGTAGTCGTAGTAGTCGCAAGCCAGAATTTGCCGTAGAACTAGTAGTACGAATAGCAGTCGTAATCGTCGTACTCGTAGTAGTGGTGGTAATCGTAGTAGTAGTCCTGATGGTAGTAGTGGTAACGATAGTAGTGGCAGTAGTAGTAGCAGTCGTCGTAGTCGTAGTAGCCGTCGTGGAAAAAAAGAAATAATAGCAGCCGTCGCGTGAGTAGTGAGAGTACTACTACTACTACTACTACTACTACTACTGCCACTGCTACTACTACTACTTCTTCTAGTCGTAGTAGTCATATTAGTAGTCGTGGTCGTGATAGTAGGAGTAGTAATAGTAGTAGTAATGATAGTATGAGGGCTGTCCGTACTCTGTGCTACCAGTCTTGAATGAATGGGAAAAGGGGTAAAGGTTTGGGTTCGGTTTAGGCTTCGCAAGTCGTAATCGTACTCCTAGTGATCGTAAGTCGTAAGTGTGGTAATAGTCGCAGCAGTAGGGTAGTATTAGTACTAGTAGTCGTAGTAGTAGTAGTAGTAGTAGTAGTACAAGTACTAGTACTAGTACTAGAACTAATACTAGTAGCAGTGGTAGTAGTAGTAGTCGTAGTAGTCGTAGTAGTAGTAGTAGTAGTAGTAGTAGTAGTGGTGAACCGCCGTAGTAGTAGTAGTAGTAGTAGTAGTAATCGTAGTAATAGTAGTAGTAGTAGTAGTAGTAGTAGTAGTAGTCGTAGTAGTAGTAATAGTAGTAGCCGTAGAGATACGAAACGTGGTGGTAGCAGCAGCAGTAGTAACAGTTGTAGAAGTAGTAGCAGTAGTAGTAGTAGTAGTAGTAGGAATAGTAGTAGTAATAGTAATCATAGTAGTAGTAGTAGTAGTCGTAGTAGTAGTTGTAGTCGTAGTAGTAGTAGTAGTAGAAGTAGTAGTAGTAGTAGCTGGCGTCCTCTTAGTTTCTGTAGTCGTAGTCGTAGCGGTAGTAGTAGTAGTAGTAGTAGTAGTAGTAGTAGTACTAGTGATAGTAGTAGTAACAGTAGTAGTCGTAGTAGTAGTAGTAGTAGTAGTAGCAGTAGTAGTAGTAGTAGCAGTAGTAGTAGTAGTAGTCGCTGCCGTCGTCGTAATAATATTTGTAACAGTAGTAGTAGTAATCATAGAAGCAAAAGTCCCAGAACTAGTACCAGTAGTAGTAGTTGGTGCAGTCGTAGCAGTAGTACGAGCAGTTGTCGCAATCGGGCCAGAATGTAGATTGGGCCCACTGCATCACTTTTGCATATCTTTCCAGTACAAGCAATACGTTTGCCATGGCGATCCACGTGCTATCACCCGGTTGCTTTTGCTGTATCCCCCGCTCCAATACTAGAGTCGTGTTTGTTGCTTCTCTCTCTCTCTCTCACTCTCTCTCGCTTCCTCCCTATGTTTTTGTTTGTTTCTCACTCTCTCTCTCTCTCTCCTTCTCTCTGTCTCTCTCCCTCTCTGCCCCTCTTGTCCTTATCTCTCTCCCTCTCTGTCCGTCTGTCCCTGTGTCTCTCTCTCTCTCTCTCTTCCTTTCTCTCTCTCTCTCTCCCTCTCTGAAAGCCACAGCCTGGGCTACACCAGACCAGACCACCGCCTGACTCGCCTCTCCGAGCGGGGAGCTCGCACGGGAGTGCTCGCCACACGAGGCACGCGCAGCAGGCATCCTTGCACCAGCGCCGTGCCTGCCCAGGGCTATGCTGGGCCCTGGCATGGTGCCCATGTCCTGTTGGCTCTGGCCAAGAGGGCACATCCTGGGGCCTGGGATGGTCCTGGCCCTGGCCAGGCCTGCTGGCCGGTCCAGCAGGAGGAGGGGCAGCCAGGACCGCATCGTGAGGAAAGCGAGCAGATTGAGAGAGAGAGAGAGATGGAGAGAGAAAACGAGAGAGAGAGAGAGAGTGACAGAGAAAGAAAAAGCGAGAGAGAGAGAGAGATACTAACTACATATGCTGTTGTGAGTATATCGCTCTGTATTTGTACACGTACGCACGCACAGCGAGATCGAGAGAGAGCGAGAGGGATACATACATACATATATAGACAAAGAGAGAGAGAGAGAGAGAGAGAGAGAGAGAGAGAGACAACAACAAGCAACAACACAGAGAGAGAGAGAAAGAGGGATACATATAACGACAGCATGACATACCTACGCACATGGATACACATATGCATGCACAAATGCACATGCACTTACACATATATATATATATATATATAGTGTTGGATATGTAGAGAGAGAGATAACTAACAACACATAGAACGAGAGATATACCGATATATATAGAGAGGGATAACGAGAGAGAACACAACATCCATGTATACATGCAGGTGCAACTGTCAACAACCGTAAAAGTGGGTGAACAACAAAAAGGCGGAGTCCTCTCCAGAGCAGCATAAAGCATGTCGAAGCCCACATTGCTGCACGAGCTGGACGCGATTTTTCGTTCATATTTGATTGCGCCCGTTGAGCCTGACAGTGTGCTGCCTTGTGGGTTGGGGGTCCTTCCGTCTGCGAACATTGCTGCGCAGCATCTGCGGCGTAGCTGGAAACGGAGGGCGGTGCAAGCCTGTATCATGTCCCCCGCGTCATCCACGCGAAATTTGCTGCCCGCCGACCAAATGATAATGCCGACGTGCGCCTCTCCCAGACTGGCCCTGGTGGACGGGGGAAGTTGACGGGGGGATTGGCTCGAAGGAGCAAGCATCGACCTGGAATCGGCCATACGTCGCTGATAAAATCGGCGATGGCCCCCGATAGTGAATCCGCACGTTCTTGGGCCGGGTGAGCCTTCGAGCCCGTATCGGTGATGCATGAGCGATTCGGGGCCGATGCGTCCTCCCCAAAAAAACCTATCCCCCCAAAGGTTTCACTGTTTTCCTTTGCTCTTCCCATCGTTCACATGAGGCCGCCGACCACCAACCAGGAGAATGCTGGCGAACACCCTCCCAAAAATCCACCGGTGTGACTTTTCCAGTCCGCGGCCCCAGAGTCTGGAACCCTTCCGCGGGGTGGTTTTGCGTCCCGGATCCCTTTTGATGGTCGCGGAGCCCATAACGGGCCTCCAAAGGCTGAAATCGCGGAAAAAATCCCGGATTGAAAAAACACAGTTCCACTTCGTTTTCGGCCGCCCCGCGACTTTGATATTTCCCGAAAGCCAGTGTAGGGTTTGAGTGGGAAGGTGTGGGACTTCTGCGCGGAACCATCTCCTCGTCCTCGTCTTCATCATCAATCACTTCCCTCCTCCTCCTCACGAGGGATGAGAGGAGTGGGGGGAGGAGGGGAAAAGGAGAAGGCGGAGGAGGAGGGGAAGGAGGAGTAGGCGGAGGAGGAATGAGGGGTAAGGGGGGGGAGGAGGGCGCTGGGAAATCAAACGAAAACAGCGGACAACAGAAAAAAAATAAACGAAACATAAGTTCTGGCGGCAAAAACTTTATGAACACCATTGTAATGGCCAAAAACACAACAACCAGCACCTGTTAGTACAACGTGCAGTTCTCTTTGCATCTCCTACTGCAACGTATACCGCATGTCTGAACACAGATCATAGTACAGTCCCTTGTCACAGCCACAAACACCATCCTGGTTCCAGCTCACAAAGCACGCAGCAGCGCAACTCCCACTACTAGCCCCAACGGCAGCTCCCAAAACAGGCAGTACGACACCTCCTGCGTAGCATATCCTTCTACAGCTCTCGATGCAGACCCGAGTAGGCATCCTACTCCAGCTCTTCCATCTTTTCACATGTTCTCAAAAAGTTCCTGCTACATCCACGCGCGCAGCTTTCACTCACTACAATTCTTGATGCATGTCCTGCTACCGTAGATGGCACGCATCCTGTCTAGTGCAACTCTTACTGTTCTTCCAAACGCAACCAATAACACGGCGTCCACTTAGGTTCCGGCCGAGATTCCTACGACACGCCCACTTGCCAGCAGTCTACATCTCCCAATCCAGCCGTAGGGCCTTTTTCACCACCGCTCTTAGTCTAGTTCCCAGCGCAAGTCCTCTTTATGACCCACCCTGCAGCTTTCACGACAGCACCTCCCAAAACGAATGCAGCATTTCGGAATTCACCTCCTACAATCCCCTGGCGCGGCGCAGCCACAAATACCGCCCCCATTCATACCCTACACAACAAGAAGTCCCAACCGTACAGCCCCACTACAGCCTGTACTACCCCCCCAACTACTGCAGCTTCTAAGCCAGGTCCTACTACAGCTCCCACTACAGCCAGTGCTACAACTTTGCAATCCTACGACACATCCCACTGCAGCTATTTGTGCAACTCCGACCACGCTACCTTCAAATTTTTCGTCACCAAACCCCCGCTGAACTTCACACGGGAACAAGTCGTACTGCTACTGCATCTCCCGAAACAGCGACTGATAGAGTTCCTCGCGCAACCAATCGTCTTGCTCGAACTACAGCTCGCACTACAGTGCCGACTACGAACGTCGATGCGGCCCCTGCTACAGCCCCCGTGACACAACTTCTCATACAGCTCCCATGCCCGATTCCCTGGCGTGGGGTTCCCCATGCCAGGTGCAGAGCGGTGCAGGCGGCGCGGGCGCGTCCCGCGCTGTTTGCGCCTCGGTCGAGGTGCGGGGCGTTTGCTCGCGTTCGCTGCCTGCTCCTCCACCTCGCCCGTTTCCTCCCTCCGACTTCGTCCTTCTCCTCCTCCTCCTCTTTCCTCTGTCCTCCTTCCTCCTTTTCCGCCTCGTCGGCCATTTCCTCCTCCTCCTCCTCCCCATGTTACTCCTCCTTCTCCTCCTCCCACTCCTCCTCCTACTCCTCGTCCTCCCTCTCCTTTTCCTCCTCGTTCTCCTCCTCGTTCGCTTCCTCCTCGTCCTCCTCTTCCTTCCTTCTCCTCCTCCTCCTCCTCCTCCTCCTCCATCTCCTCCTCCTCCCCCTCCTCCTCCCCCTCCTCCTGCACGCCCCCCCCCAGCATAATCTCACTTCGGGGCAAAAGCCAAGAACACCCATATTTTCACAAACCAACAGGAAACAATCCGTTGAACTTGCTGGAGAATTTTTCCCTCCCCCCGCCAAACACATCCCTCAGGATTGTTATGTGTGTTGTTTGTATGAGGTTCCTTGATTCTGCCCCGAGGTGAGATTCTGACTGGCAGGAGGAAGTGGAGGAGGAGGAAAGGAAAGAGGACGAGGAGGAGGACGAGAAAGAGAAGGAGGACGAGGAAGAAAATGAGGAGGAGGATGAGGGGAGAGAGAAAGAGAGAGAGAGAGAGACGGAGAGAGGAGGAGGAAGAGGGAGGAAGGAGGAGGAGGAGGAGGGGACAGAAAAAAGGCTTTTGGGACATTTTGAAATCGAGGAGGGGGGGGAAACGAACTGACACCAAATGCACAAATCGTCGGAGTTCTAAGTTTTCAAAGCGTACCTCGGGCCTCCAGCGGCCGTTCGGGGCATTCAGGGGGCGCGCCTCGCCGCGAAGCGCAGCCCCTGGAGAGCATCCCGAAGCTGCTCAACCGAAGGGAATCGACGAAAGCGTCTGGAAAAGCTTAACCTCGACCTCGGAGATCTTCTGGGTCTCCCGGACTGCCCTGGGGCGTTCCCGGGGTGCCCGGCGGGAGGCCCTCGAAGCCCATTCCATTGGGTATCACTTTGTTTCGGTCGCAGACGGTAGCAACCGATCCGCACTCCAAATCGGTCGCGGACCATCGCGACCGTTTTCAACAATTTTTGCGACTGGTCGCGACCGATCGCGACCGATCGGTCGCGACAGATTCTGAAGCAGGCCGGTCGCGACCAATACTGGAATTTGACGCAACAGCGGTTGCGGCCCATCTCGTCGGCCGCGACCAGACAACTCTGGCATCCAATGGTCAGGGGGCGCGGAAACGGTAATTAACCGTGGGGCAAACGGGTCCTGAGGGAAACGGGCCCTGAGGTTTCTCGACGTCTTCAGGCTCTAGGGGCCGTTCACGGTCCCAGGGACGGCACGAGGCCGACTCAAGATGGAAAACTCGTGTTGGGGGAAGGCACCAAGTCCAAGACCCGTTTTCCTGAGGGCCCGTTTCCCTGATGCTACGGACGGGCGGCATGTCAGATGGCTGCGCGCGCTCGCCGCGAAACCGCCGCCAGGTGGGGCCAGACCGCCGGCGCCATAAAACGAAACCAGGGCCGGGGCAGCACTAAGTGGCTTCAGGCCTATCCCTAATCCAACGCATCTGATCAGACTGAAATGCCCGAGGGCGAAGGAGGGCTTGATCGTCGGGCTCGTAGGTGTCGCAGCGCTCAAGAGCTCACTGGGCTCCTTACGCCAGAAAGCTCGGACTTGCAGTCGAGTGTTCTCTGGAAACTGGATGCCGCACTTCGGCGGCAGGCCTTTGCTACGCTGGCCCGCGCGACTCTTATAGGCAACGCGGCGACGTGCGTGCGCGCGAGCATGACTCGTTGGGCGCGGCGTCGCACCTGCGGCCCCACCAGCCGCACCTATACATTCAGAGTGACAACGGGGGGGGGGACGAGGAGGAGGAGGAGGAGGAGGAGGAGGAGGAACAGGAGGACGAGGAGGAGGAGGGCGAGGAGGAGGGGGAGGGGAAACTGGACGGCGAAAGAAAACAAGTAAACTTATCGGTTGAGCAAATGCCTCGCAGCTTCAACAGCCCCGGGGGCAGCGGTCGCGGTGCCCAGGGCGCGTTTCAGCACCGCCTGGGCGCTGGCCCGCCGGATGGCGACGCTCAAGTCTTCCAAATATGCCTGCATGCGCAGGCTCGCCGCTGGGCCATCTTTGGCTTGAGTTTTGCGCGCGAGCTGCTTTAGGACTTGAAGGCCTGAAGCGCCCCAGCCCCCGGACCGTTCGGCGACCATTGGCACGAAAGCGATCCACTGCTGGGAGCACGAGGCCTCCGCTTTCAGGTAGGACCGCTTGTGGTCTTCGCCAGGCCGCGCTGCCGACCCGGCGACTTCGCTCGCCTGCTGTAGGGCAGCCTGCCGCTGCGGCGACGTGATGGCCAGGTCCAGAGCTGCCGGAGACCCGCCGCGCCAGGAAGGCAGGAACACGTCTGCCGGGCGGCGCAAGCCCTGGTCGGCCCCATCGTCTGGCCGCGGTGGGAGGAGGTGGCACCCTTCCAGGTCTGGCCGGCATCCAGCGGCGGCGGCGAAAAACTACGTCGGATTCCGGGCTGCTTGATGCGCCGCGCTCTTGTCCCCGCCGCAGGTGCAGACCGAGCAGAGGAAACCGTGCACGTCGAGCACGCTGTCGCAAAGTGGGCAATCGTCCTCCTGCTGGGAGACCTCCGCGCCCAAGCGGCACTGCACTCAGTGCAGAAGTTGGCCGACTCCATGCTGAGCTTCATGACCTGGCTGGGCATGGCCGTCAACAAGCCGGAGGAACTGGGAAAGGTCTCCGACAACACCGCGGCCCAGACAGCAGGGGTGGCGCGCGCTAGGCGGTCGCGCAGGCTCGCATGGTCGAGCGCGTCAGACAACTCCTTCTGCGAGGGCGATGACGATCTTGAGGATGCGCCCTCAGAAGCTGAGGGAGTCCTCAAGATGGGTATCGAGCCAAGGCGATGCCAAGCATAGGAATAGGAATCGGTTCCAGGAAAGTCAAAGTTGGCGGCGCGCGCAAGGGAGTAAGGGGAGGGGGGCAGGCTTCTTAGAAGGAAGCCGTTGCTTAGAAGGCGCTGGCCTTATATCTACAGGGAAGGCCCAGGCCTTTAAAAAGCAAAGGTGCTTCCAAGAAGCAGACATGCCGAGCCGCCGCGGGCGCCCTCCTTGCACGTTCGCCTCTCGCGCAAGACGATGCCAGGACCAGGACAACATCGGACCGGGACAGGCCGAGGACCTCTGAGACCCAGCGGTTCTGGAGGATGTATCGTGCGCCGCGCGGCCGTTACAGAGCGCTCCAGAACGCTGTGAGAGCTTTCCGGGACGCTCTGGAGCGAGTTATCTCGGTCCTACAATCCCGCTCGACTCCAGGACGCTGGAGACATAAGTGGCGAATTCGGGAAACCCTGGACCCCCAAAATGTTGGCATCTCTTGGGGGCGCATCTTTCAATCTCGCCGGCTTCCGCCAACCTTCCTCCGGCTTCCGCTGGCGGAGCCGCCCTCGTGCTGCTTCCGCCGCCTTCCGCCGTGCTTCCGCCGGGGACGAGATGCCAACTCCTTCGGTCCTCGAAGGCGAGACCCTTTCTGGAGCGCGCCACGTGTGGCCAGACTCACGCCCGGGGCGTGCGGAGGCCGCGAGCTGGACGCACCCAGGGCTCCGACGACACGTGATGATTTTTAGATCTTCAGCTCCCTGGCGCTCTGGCTCGATTTCGGGCTCGGGGGCCCGCTGTCGATCGGCGCCGAAGAGCGACGCCCGGGGAAGGGGTTGCGACCTCTGCGGACGCGCATTTGAACCACCATCTCGCCGAATGTCTGTGAAGGCATGCGGGCACGTGGGCGACGGGCGACGAAAAGAAAGGGGTCTTACGCGCGATGGCATGGAGGCCTTACGCGGCGGCTTACGCGGGCCGACAGCGCAGCAAGCCACATCTGAACGAGGTCGCGTACGCGCGAACGTCAGCGCAATCGAACATGTTTTTGAGGTCGCTCACGTGTGCAACCAGCTCTCGCCCAGGGCGGCCGCACCAAGTGTATGCAGCTTCGTGGCATTCCGCAGGCCAGCCCCGAACTCCCCCGAAGCACACCCATCAGGGCCCAAGCTAGGCGCCATGATCGCTCGTGGCGTACAATACAATAGGGACATAGGGCAACCCTCACGGGGCGTCGCCAACAACAAAAACGCACGGCACGTTTCCCTGCGTCGCCGGCCCCTGAGTCGTCAAACAACGACTCAGGATGAACAGCCGCTCCCTGAGAAGGGTTCGAGATCCCCAGTGGTCCACGTCGCGGAAAAATTCGCGCAGTCGAAGGAGAGTTAAGGATCCCCCCTGTAAGGAATCGTGGGGCACATGTTTCGTCCATCTTCACCCTCCTATGGTGCCCCAGGCTTCCATTCTGCCCAGAGGACGTCCGAGAACGGGGGGGACTCCTGCGGGGCACCCCGAACAACTCAGGACGTGCACCCGAGTTGGCCTGCGGTCTCCCTCCAGCGCACCCAGGGTTCTTCCTTAAGGCAAAGTCAAGATCGGGACAACATCTGGATAACTCGGGGATCTGTGAGATCTGGCCGTTCCGGAAGATGCATCGGGCGCGGCGACCGTTCCAAGGCGCTCCATGGCGCTCTGAGAGCGTCCTGGCACGCTCTGCAACGATTTGTCCTGGTCCTGGCCCTGCCAGACTCTGACGTGTGGGTGACGAAGACCAGGGTACCCCTCGCAAGAGGACGCGATGACACTGCGAGCGGGCATAAACTCTCAACGCCGTCCAGATCTGGCCGACATCTCCGCGATCCTAAGACGAAGCCAGGACAGGGACAATATTGGACAGGGATCAATCGGATATCTCTGAAATCCGAAGGTTCTGGAGGATATGCGAAGGCCACGCTAACGGCGATGGTGGTTAACGGCGGTGTTGGAATATGGTTCTTGCGACGCTGAACTCGCGCAGAACAGTTTGTAGGACAACGCGAACGACGCTTTCGTACAATTGGTTTGGCAACGAACCACCCCCACCTACAAGACCGAAACCTACAGCGCCGTTGCCTGCATCGCCATCAGCGTGTTTGTCGATGTAACCGGCGCCAAAGCCTTCTCAGAGCGTTCCAGAACGCTCTGAGAGCGCTCCAGAACGATTCATCCATGTCCTAATCCCGCCCGAACTCTCCCAAAGCGCCAACTGCAACACTTCAATTTGATTCAGGTCGACCGGCTTGCTGGCCGGCGCCCAGACATATATGTTGTACGTTTTACACGATGGCCTCTGCTAGCATCCTCTGCTTCTGCCTCGCTTCCTTAGAGGAAAGACCAGTATGGATATGCACCAGCCCTGGACTGATCCATCGTGGGCCCAGGACTGGTGCATACGCCATCCTGGCTCGGTCGGCCAGGGAGGCATATGCACCGATCCTGGGCCAAGGATGGGACAGCCCAAATCGCTAGATGCGCATATTAGTCATCGCCCGATTCCTCTCCTTTTTCCTGGAAGACGGGCGCCTGCACCGACGTGATGCGCAATGCAACCGCGGATGATGGGTGCCTATACTGACGTGGTGTGCAGTGCAACCGCACTTTTAGGGCAAGAAAGACTGATGCATTGCAACCTGCAGCGAAGCACCACGCAAAGCTCTGACGGCTACCGTCCGCCACCACTCCTGCAGCAATGATTCCAAGTTCGCGTCGAGCCGCTTGTCGGAGGTTGGGGGGTGCGACCGAAGTGAATACAGGGTCGCCAAACCAGGAATCAGAAACCAGTTGCGTAAACATGAACAAGTTGGAGCTCCGCGCGGATTTCTTGGATCGGCACTGGTCCCTGGCGCGACGAGTGCGCCAGGGGCGTCGCTGGAGAAGCCGTCAAGAAGGCACAGCGCAGATCCAAGAAATCAGCGAGGAGCTCAGCCCCAATGGTTGTTCTGCTGGTTGTCCCAATAGTTGTCCCGATTGTCCTGGAAGAGAGCGCCTGCTCGTATTTACCATTATTGCCCTTTCGGTCTCAAGACTGTCCAGGACGACGCAGGAAGCTCACACTATCGCCCCAAAACGATACCCGCGCCCGCAAGGAGGGGCCCAAGAAGCCGCCAGGAGGGCTCCAAGAGGGGATCAAACGAGCAACCAGGAGCCCTTAAGAGCTGTCCCTCCTCCCCCCGAGATGACCGACGAGAGTGCATGCCTCAAATGGCTCCCAGGATGTCCCAAAGAGGCCTCCAAGATGTCCCCCAAAGGCCTCCAAGAGCCCTCGAAGAGGTCTCTTGCACGACCCAGGCACACTGGCGAGATGGGCTGAAAACCAATCGATCACAAGGAGCCCCATTTGTTTGTTGCCCCTGCCCCAATTGCGACCGTATTTGCCACGGGAGCCAGAGAACAGACGTAAAGAAAGCATCATGGCCCACAAACCCCTTTTCGATACATCCGAAAAACCCTGAATCACAAACATTGGCATCTCTAATGGGCGCACCCTTTGCTTTCGTCAACCTTTCTCAATCTTCCGTTAGCGGAGTCGCCCTCGCCCAGGCCTTCGATTTTTTCCGCCGATGAAGAGACGCCAAGATCTCGGAGTCGCGGCCCCTTCTGGGACACCCTACTTCTGGGTGTCGTCTGCATGTAGGGGCGAAGAACATCGATCGACGCCACCACCACCGTCGTGAGGAGCCAGAGAGGGGGCTTCTGGTAGCATGGCCCCCGTGCCGAACGAAGCAACGATCGAGCTCGTTCGGCGGCCCGAGGTGGCTCAGGAAGCCGCATGGTCTCAGAAAAGGGCCCCGACTCTAGAAGAGGGCAGAGCCCGTACCCGTGGCAGGGCTTGCCGGGGGAACAGAAAAAAATAGATACCTAGAGCCATTTTGCGCTACAACGATTCACCAACACAGATCTGCCGCGCTGCTTCCCCAAACGCGGTGGTGGATCGGCGCGGCAGCGCAACTGGATACTATGAAGACAGAGTGGAGGGCACTGAGGGCTGCAACGAGCCCCGATGCGCTTACAGCAGCCACGGGCTCAACTCAGCATCAACTGCCTGACGCCCGCGATCAAACACAGCATCTCAATGGTCGTGTATGAAGCAATTGCGAGCATGAACCCTGGAGCGTGCTTCCCATACCCTCCTGTTGCATAGCCATTCTGGTGCAAGACGCGTCCAACTGCCAACACAACAATGAGGACGAAAACTGGAAAAGGGTAGACATGGATGCAACACAGCGACGTAAACAAGACCCCCCCAGTCCACTCTGTGAAGTGGTGCATGGACCGGTTTGCACGATTGTACATTCCCACGTCCCCAGTTTCATCCAACAAGACAGCTGGCTGCTCACTGGGCGAACTGCCGTTGACCTGGTAGATGTACATGTTAGATCGCATTTGTTTGTTCTGGAGCATCACCCGTGATTTCGGTATGAGCGGGTACATGTTGAGCCACCATGTGAGCATGGAGTACACCACTGCAGAAAAGAAGGCGTACGCTCCCATTCCCGACCCATCGGCGTTGAACGCTGCTTTAGCTGCGCTGTCGTACTTCGAGGTGCTGCCCAGCTTGTAGATGGCAAACGCGAGCCCGAAGCTGATCGCATGGCCGACGACGAAGATGGCACTGATCATCTTGACACTTTTGGCTGACGCCTTACTTTTCTCAGCTTCGTCTGCAACAGGCAGGCCGTTCGCCCCGTCAGACATCAGTGGTTGCGTCATGGCCTGAGCGGCTCACTCGGGGCCGCGTCGAGACGCGAGTCTTTCCCAAGCTGAGGGCGAGCTGGCCTGAGTCGGAGCGTCTTGGGCCAGAATCCTCAAGACGGCCCGAGATGAGATCGGCGATATTGCCTCGGCGGCCATCTCCTCACAAGTCTATAGACGAGTCGCCAGGACCAGAGGACAATCAAGAGTGGACATAGCCCCCGTGAGCATAACGTCCTGAGTGACCAGGGGCACTCCACGTGCGCACGGCACCGCGGCATTGCATTCCGAGTGGACCCCAGCGGGGTAGCCAATCAACGTTCAACAATAGACGAATGGATCCGGCGAAACGCACGTCGATTAGCGAAACCGACTGCGGACTGCACCGGTGCACTCGAGTGAACCGGTGCAGATTTTCTCAAGTGACTTATCTTTTTTTTTTGGGTGGGCGTTCTCGCAATCACCGAGGCGATGGTGGAGCGCGACGGGGTACATGAATCCAGGAGCGACGAGCGGGAGGCGCTCGGGTGGGCATAGCGTGCTCCGATACCCAGACATGCGATGTCCTGATTTTGTCAATGCGGGGTACCTGGAAGTCTCGACCCTTTCCTCAGACCGCTCTTCATCTGAGTCATTCTTGGCCCAGGGGTCGGTAAGGACCCCCGAGGCCGAAACAAGCCAAAAACCTCCCGTCGCGCTTTTGATCGCGACGCGAGCGTGTTTGGGCATCCTGCAGCCCACCTCCCGCGGGAGAAGCGGGCACGCGGCGGGGGCGCACTGGCGAAGGCCTCCCCCCGCCCTGCAGCTACGAACACTGGCCTAGCGGCAGCCGCAGCCCGTGCGTGGAGCTGCAGCGGATCCAGGCCGGCCAAGCGCCGTCGTCGCCGTGCTCACCGTCCTCGCCGCCGTCGCCAGACGCCACCGCCAGCCGCCGTCGCCGGCCGTCGTCGTCCCAGTGGAAACCGAAAGGTGCAGATGTCCTGCCACTCCCCGGGCCTCTCCCAGGGTGCGTCCTGGCCAAAGATTCCGGGCGGATCCGGCGGTGACGCGGAGAGCCGCCCAGGAGGCCCAGACAGTCGAACACGATGGAAGGGTAGCAGTACTGGTGCCTTTTCCTCCTCTGAGTCCCCAGATCGACCGCCTCGCGTCATGACAAAAATCGCGGCGCGAAGTGTTGCTCTATTTTCGGCCTGTGGGGGACCTCGGGCCCCAGAGCCGTCAAACAACGAGGAAGAGCCTGTCCTAAGGAATGGTTCGAGACCTCCACGGGTCGACGTTTGAGGCTGCATTTATTCTCTTGCACAGGGTGTCTAGAGCTCCGACCACTTTATTTCGGCGTCGTCGCACCGCCCTCACGCGTTGATTTCATGTCAGCGTCGCACCGCCCCGACCGCACCGCACCGCCCCGCACCGCCCCGACCGCACCGCCCCGCCCCGCCCCCCCCGCTCCCGCCCCCTCCCCAACAGCCAAAAGCACCGCCCCCTCTGCCGCGACCACTATATTTCGGCGTCGTCGCACCGCCCCCCCTCCCCCGTCGCACCGTCCTCACGCCCCCCCGTCCCCTCCAACTCATAGCCTCATCAGTCTAGATTGATCCACTCACGGATCCACTGCAATTTATTTCCATTGAATTCATTCCATGCGTAGCATGCTCTCCCCTAATGGACCGTGAACGGGACCCAGTCCCCTGCCGGTCGTCTAGGGGCCATCATAAGCACCTCGCACCCAATTCGGGGCCATCAGCAAGGCTCGTTTTGGGAAAAAAGACCATCGTAGGCCTTCCCGCTCAATTTGCTCATTGAACTCAACTTTCTCGTCGTCATCATCCTCCTCCTCCTTCTCCTCCTCCTCCTGGTCTCCACCCCATCGGAGCCGCGATACAGGCAGTGCGGGCATCATCTCGGCCTCGATCGGGTCGTGCTCGTGAATTTCACGGTTTCCGTGATCATGGGCGTGTTCACGGTGCGTTTCAGGGAGTCCGCAATCGTAGGTCGGGTCGTGCTCGTGACTGTCGTGGTCTTCTTGTTCATGAGTGTGGTCACAAGGCATTTCACAGAGTCCGCAATCATAGGTCGGGTCGTGCTCGTGTGTTTCACGGTCTTCGTGATCATGAGCGCGATCACAGTGCATGTCACGGAGTCCGCAATCATAGGTCGAGTCGTGCTTGTGAATTTCACGGTTTTCGTGGTCATGAGCGTGGTCACGGTGCGTTTCACGGAGTCCGCAATCATAGGTCGGGTCCAGCTCGTGAATGCCACGGTCTTCTGATTCATGAGTGTGGTCACAGTGCATTTCACGGAGGATGAGCACGACGGACGTTGTTGGTGGACGTCCGCCCTTGCCATCCCCCCCCCCGGTGAGGACCATCGTAGGCCTTACAAGTGAGGACCACCATGAGGCCTCACACCCCTCGCAGTTTCCATCATTGGAACTGCGGGGGTCGAACCAAATCCCCGCAAACTTGGCACCGTACGTGCAGTGCCATGGGCGGCGGCCCGTCTTCCCATCTTACCATCATAGGGGAATGCGAAGTCCCTGTAGACGGGACGGGGTGGGCACGAGCGAGCATCATAGCCGGCTCAAAATCAAAAGAGGCATCATAGCCTCATCAGTCTAGATTGATCCACTCACGGATCCACTACAATTTATTGCCATTGAATTCATTCCATGCGTAGCATGCTCTCCCCTCCCCGCCCCCTCCCCCTTCCCCAGCAGCCCAGCGCACCGCCCCCTCCGCCGCGACCACTTTATTCCGGCGTCGTCACACCGCCCCCTCCCTCCCCTGGCGCACCGCCATCCCCCCCCCGCCAGTCCCCTTCCCGTTCGCCCCAGAAGCCTCCAAGACGACCCAAGAGGCCCTCAAGAGATCCTCCAGGAGGGCCCGAAGAGATCAAAATCATTGATTTTCGGTAAGGTTTTTGAAAGATTTTGGCATTTGCTTCTTCTCGGCATTCCGACGGCTCAAGACGGCCCAAGGGGCCCCAAGACCGCCCACGAGGCCTCCAAAATGGCCCCATGACGGCCCAAGAGGCCCCCAAGATGGCCCCAGAAGGCCCAAGAGGCCTCCACGACGGCCCAAAGGGCCTCCAAGACGGCTAAGATGGCCCCAAGATGCATCCAAGACGGCCCAAGATGCACCCAAGACGGCCTAAGATGGCCTCAAGATGGCCTCAAGACGGCCCAAGAGGCCCCCAAGAGGCCTCCAAAACGGCCCAAAAGGCGTCCAGAAGGTCTTCCAGGAGGGCACGGAGAAGCCAAAATCATTGATTTTCCGTATGGTTTTCGAATGATTTTGGCAATTGCTTCTTCTCGGCATTCCGACGGCTCAAGGCGGCCCGAGAGGCCCCCAAGATCGCCCAAGAGGCCTCCCAAATGGCCCCATGACGGCCGAAAAGGCCCCCAAGACGGCCCCAAGATGGCCCCAACACGGCCCAAGAGGCCTCCAAGACGCCGAACATAGCCGCTAAGAACCCCTGATATGCCCCAAGAGGGCACGACCCAGACAGGCCCCCAAGACGGCTTCCGACGGCGTCAGACATCCAGGAACGCCCTAAGCCGGCCAAAGAGGCCCCCCAAAAGCCCCCAAAGGCCCCCCCAAACCCTCCAAGGGGCCCCAGGAAGCCCCCAGGAGGCCCCAAGTGCCCCAAGAGGCGCCCAATAGGCCTCCTCCTCATCCTCCTTCTCTTTTTTCCTCATCCTCCCCCTCCTCTTCTTCTTGCTCCCCCACGCGTTCCCCGAAGTCTTTCCAAACCGACTCGGGGAACAACTGGGCCGATAGCTTGGCCAAGCTCTGGCCCAGCTGTCGGCCACAGAGGCGCTTCCAAAGGGGCAGGGGGCGGCGGTGATTCGCCGTAGGCGTCTTCGATAAATGTTCACACGCCGCCCAGGCCTTGGTCACCACATTGTCCGTGCGCGTCGGGTGAGGTTGACAATGAGATCGATAGTGAGATCAATCGTGAGATCGACAGAACGAACCTCCCTCTCACCCGAGGGGTGGTCGCATAGACAAGTGGTCGCCCCCCGCGCAGTCTTACAGAAACCAAGCCTGGGTCACCCCATTGCGCGTGCGGGTCGGGTTGGCCAACGAGCTCCACCCCGCGCTGCCGACGAGGCTGGCTGTCCCCGCCGCGCGCTCGATCCACCCTCTCGGCCCCCGAAGGGCCACCGCAGGCTCGGCAGCGCTGCGGCGCCGTTTGGGCGCCGGCTGGGTGGCTCCATGCCCAATCGACGCCCTCGCGTCGTGCAAGACTCATTGCGGAACTGTTCTTGTTCTGCCATTTCTGACCGTCAAACCAGACCCGGGATGAGGGTTTGGAAATCCGGTCCTGGGGAGCGGGTCGAGACCTCTGGGGGTCCAAGGTGTGAACACATACATGGTGCCAAGGTCTGAGCATGGGGCAGCCTGGCTGGGGGGGGGAGCCGTCCAGATTCGGGCATGACCTATCCAGCCCGCGGGTGTTCATGGACGTCGCACGTAGCCATCGTTGAATTCTGATTGTGCTCATATCTACGGCCAGGAACTTCTGCTTAGCGTGCCGCGCTGGCGCCGGCGGCGACACGGTGCGCCCTGCAAACGGATGATGTGTCGTTCCGCCACGCTGTGCGGTAGGCTTGGAAAAGCTCGGGACGCTGACGCTTGGGGACTGGGACCTGGTTAGCGCGTCGCGCCGAAGCGTGGTGGTGGGCCGTAGGTCAGCTCCTCCAAGAGATTTCTGGCTCAAGGTGGCCATGAGCAGAACGCCCAGCAATGAGTAGAAGATCGGCTCTGGAATGTGCATGCTCCCTTGGAGGAGTAAAAAGCACGAGCGCAATCAAAGGTCCCTGGGTGTCACCGGAAGCCCAAACAAGGCCCCGCCCAAAACCTCGAGGATGATGACCCGTGCACCCTGACGTCATAACTTGTTCACATTGTAGGCTGCCGGAGGTCTCCACCCATTCCCCAGGACCAGATTCTCATCCCGAGTCGTCTTTGTGATATCTCGGGGTCCAGCAAGGGCCTCCGCAAGCCAAGCACAACAAAATACCGCCCGTGCCATTTTTTCCACGACTCGAGGGGGGCCGGGAGGGGAGTGGCAGGAGCAGCAGGAGAAGGGTAAATGTTCTCCTTGCGCACTAGCACCTCGGAACCGCAGGACAAGAATACGAGCAGCCCAAGCCTGTCCCAGCGCTTCATCCTCACCAGCTCGTCCTCGCCCATGACGTGGGCCCTGCTGCACTGGTCCTCCTTCGGGGCGCGTGAGCAGGCCCTCCCCTCCTCCCGCCCCGATCATTGGATGTCCAATTACTCTGGTCGCGACCGAAGAGATCGGTCGCTACCGATTTTTCCCCAAATTCCGGTATCGGTTGCGACCGATTTGCTGCAAATTCGGTCGCGATTGGTCGCGACCGACTTGGAGTGCCGATCGGTCGCTGCCGATCGCGACCGGCAAACATCTGGTATCCAATGCTCCGGGCCGCGAGGGAAAAACTCGCGTCGGCGGGGCCCTCCGAAAGTTTTGGACCCTGGGAAGGCCGCTCCACGGGTCCTGAGGACGGAAGCGGGTCCTGGACCCCGGGGCCTTCCCCCAGGACTGGTTCTTCACCCTGGGCTGTCTTTTGACACGCCCTGGGGGCCTGGGGAGGGATCCGAGGGGCCGAAGACGGCGAAAAACTTCAGGGCAACTTTTCCTCTCAAGGCCTGTTCCTGGACATCCGACGATGGGGTGACATCAACGAATGGCCCCAAATGGTCCCGATCCCTTCTCTGGGGGCATCTTTCTGCCCAGATCTGTGTTTGATGGTCCTGGGGCCCAATAGCGGGCCCCGGAGTCCCCGAAACCTAAGGATAAGAAACGCGATCGAACACAAACACATCGACGGAGAACTGGGCCTGCTCCGGGGAAACATTAAAAGCCGGCCCGCGACGGCGGCGATGGGCGGCGGCGACAAGCGGCGTCGCCGGCGACGAGAGCCGCTGCTGCCGCCGCCGCCGCCGCCGTCGTCGTGAACGTCGATGTCGCCGCCGTCGTCGTCGTCGTCGTCGTCGTCGTTGTCGTCGTCGTCGTTGTTGTCGTCGTCGCCGACGTCAACGTCAACGTCGTCGTCGTCGTCGTCCTCGTGGTCGTCGTCGCCAACATCGCCGTCGTCGTCGTCGTCGTCGTCGTCGTCGTCGTCGTCGTCGTCGTCGTCGTCAGCGTCCTCGTCGACGTCAAAATCAGCGTTAACGTCGTCGTTGTCGTCATCGTCGTAGTCAATGTATCACTCCGGACAAACACTTGTGAAACCGACTTCGCAGGAAAAACAACGATAACAAGGGCAACCACCCCTAGAAAATAACAACGACATATCGGCTAAACCAATAACCCTCCACCCACGAAATTCTGACAATGGCCGAAACCCGGTTGACTAACCGCACGGTGCATGTTGACAAAAAGCTCAAAACAATGAACGAACCGGAAGTTTAAATCGACAAAACGTAAGCAAAGCAAAATGTTTCATGCATAAACATAAACATGCATAAACATAAACGATGCAGGGGCAATGCGATCAAAACAATAAGAACATGTGTTACGGAACCTAGCGTTCGCGTTCATATCCACTCTGCTGTAGTTTCAGCGCGCGCGCATTTATGGTTTCAAGCACGTTCCTTTCTAACGTCCTTATGTGTGTTCGGATGGTCATCGCGCGAATAGCAATTATGATGCACGCTTTCACTCAATGCGACTCTGGCGCGAATATCAGAACTTACACTGCTTCACACGGCTTCGCTCGTCACAGAGGCCAAAGGGAACTCGAAACACATTCCGCAACTGCGAAAATCAAATCACGCAATTCGCACAAAGCTCCCGAAGGCACCGCGGGCAGCGAAAGAGGCCAGGGGAGGCCCACCTGCCCGTTCAGGGGGCCACGACCCTCTACAGAGGCCCGTCCTGAGGGTTTCGACGGCGCGCCCACCGTCGTCGTGCAACCGCCGCGCAACATCTGACAACGCTGGGCTGCCCTGAACTGTTCAACGGTGCCCGCCAACAGAAATCACGAAATCATGGATCCGAAGGTCACCCCAGTCCCGCAGCGGCTGCCAGGACTGATGTCAACGTCACCATCGTCGTCGTCGTCGTCGTCGAATTCGTCGTCCTCGTCGCCAACGTCAACGTCAGAGTCGTGGTCTTCGTCGTCGTGGTCGTCGTCGCAAACGTCACGTCAACGTCGTCGTCGTCGTCGCCATCTTCGTAGTCAACATCGCCGCCGTCGTCGTCGTCGTCATCTTCGTCGTCGTCCTCGTCGTCGTGGAAGTTGTCAACGTCGTCACCGTCGTCGACGCCGCCGTCGTCGTCGTCGTCGTGGTCGTCGTCGTCGCCGTCGTCATCGCCGTCGTCGCTGTCGTCGTGGTTGTCGTGGTCGTGGTCGTGGTCGTGGTCGTGGTCGTCGTCGTCGTTGCCGTCGTCGGACGTCGTCGTCGCCTCCGTCGTGGTTGTCGTGGTCGTGGTCGTCGTCGTCGTCGTCGTCATCAACGTCGTCGCCGCCGTCGTCGTATTCGTCGTCGTCGTCTTCGTCGTCCCCGTCGTGCACGTCGTCGTCGTCGTGATCGTCGTGGTCGTGGCCGTCGTCCCCATCGTCTTCATCGTCGTCGTCGTTCTACTCGTGGTCGTGGTCGTTGACGTGGTCGTTGTCGTCGTCGTCGTCGTCGTCGTCGCCGACGTCGCCGTAACCGTCGCCGTCGCCGTCGCCGTCGCCGGCGCCGTCGCCGTCGCCAGCGTCGTCGCCGTCGTCGTCGTCGTCGTCGTCGTCGTCGTCGTCAACGCCGCCAACGCCGCCGTCGTCGTTCTCGTCCTCGTGGTCGTAGTCGTGGCCGTCCTCGTCGACGTGGTCGTGGTCGTGGTCGTCGTCGTCGCCGTCGTCGGTCGTCTTCGTCGTCTCCGTCGTCGGCGTCGTCGGTCGTTGTCGTCGCCGTCGCCGTGGCCGTCTCCAGCAGCACCGCAGCGGGCTCGCGCGCCGAGGCGCAGTGGCAGCAGTGCGCCGACAGGTGCAGCACCGAGCCCTCCAGGCAGGACCTCGGATGCCACTGCCGCCGCCGCGGCGCCCGGCGCAGCCGCCATCGCCGTCGTCGACGCCGCCACTGTCGTCGTTGTCGTCGCTATCGTCGTCGTCGTCGTCATCGCTGTCGTCGTCGTCATCGTCGTCGTCGCCGTCGTCGTGGTCGTCGTCGTCGTCGTTACCGCAACCGCCGCCGTCGCCGTCGTCGTCGTTATCCCAACTCACCGACGGTATTTTTAAAATCCGGGCGGATTTCCTCGATCCGGCCTCTGTGGCATTTTCCATCGAAACAAATCCGAAGCGAAACGTTACTTGTCCGAACCTCCGGGGCCGCGCATTGAAAGATCACGACGTCGGGTGTCCAGAGGCGTCATCACGGTCGTCATTGCGTCGTCGCCGTCCCCTAGGAACGACGGCATCGCTTCCACCGGCTGCTGCAGAATATTGAGCCAGCAAGGGATACTCTCTCTTCCTTGCTCAGGCGCGGAGGTGTTTCCTGGTAGAGGTAGCCCGCAACAAAACACATCACGCCGCTACGCATTCATCGCCAGAAAATCGCGCCGTTCCTTACGCCAATGTTTACATAGTCCAAGCCAACGTCGTGGTACGCCATCCAAACAACAGCTTGCCGTGCCACTGCCGTCGTCCCCGTCCTCTTCAGCGCCATCTTCCTGAGCTGCGCGTTCGAATCTTGACGCACCGTTGCTTCCCAACTACTCCTGTGAATGTGTTCGGTCTAAAGACCTGGACCCCAAGAATAACTGCATTTCATGGGAGGGCAACTTTTGCTTCCACCGGTTTCCGACAGCCTGCCGCCAGCGTGCGCAGGCGGAACTGCCCTCAGTTTGACTGCGCGATCCCTCCGCGACCATCAGTCGAAGAAGAAAAGTCAGCTTCTCGATCCCTCCAGGGCGGGGCCCTTGCTGGAACGCCCTGGCTCAAAGTGTCCCATAGAACGAACGTTTTGTTTTGGGCAGACTTGCTTTAAACCCCATGAGCCCTTGCATGTACACTTTCGAGCACGCGTGAATTTCGGTATTGATGGCTGCGCGTCCTGCGTGACACGCGATTGCTGTAGCTGGTGTGCACCACCGGCTTTTCGCTAGATGCGACCTGCCGAGACCACCAAGTGCGAGCTGCCTACCGTACAGGATAGGCGCAAGCACAGATCTGGATCAGCCAGCAATATCACTGATAAACAGCTAGAGCTTGCTCGAAGCCCTCCTCCTCCTCCTTCTCCTCCTCCTCCTCCTCCATGTTGCATGCTACAAAAGGGATACAAAAGTGAATCCGTGCACTCCACGAACCCAAACCGCAACCCTCTCGATAAATACGATGGGCTGGGACGCCCACAGCTCGGGCGCAGTTTTCTTGGGACTGCGTCGCTAGAGATTTGGGCCACCGCTGCAGTCCTTGCGGCAGCTGGCCTCGGAGAAGTCTCGGCTTGGCATTCCTTCCCGTACTTGTGGGGGGGGGCACAAGGAGCGTTCAACTGAAAGGCCTTCGGCGATGACGTACCCCCGCAGATGTTGCAGAAAACCACCCCACGGAACACATGGAGGTGTTGGAGGTGAGTCGAATGGAAGGTTTGGGCGTGACTCGACTTGCATATTGACTCAGCGAGGACTCCTTGGTCCCGTGAGCCTGGCACCCAAAGCAGAGTTTGCACCGCAATCCTTCTGGGACCTTCTCGTGAACATGCTGAGCGCGGCTACACTTTTTGGGGGCCAGAGCCCGTCCCTCCTTCTCAGGGACAAGGGGCGGTGTAGGGAAACCGTGCCACGACAATTCTTGCATGACTTCAAGACGGCGCTGGGCCAGGCGCAATTCTCGGTCGGCCTCTAGCATGGGCCAGGTGACCCATTCAGGCAACTGGGCACGGGTGGCAGCATCGCCGGCAATTCGGCCTGCTCGTTGACTAGGTAGGCCCAGGGCTGGATATTAGAGTACAACAATTCTGATTCCGACGGGCGAGACTTGGTGTTGTGAAACTCCACGGTTCCGTCAAGCCCCTGGTGGGCCTCCCGAAAATCATGCCAGATATCTACATTGGTCCTGTGTTTCCACTAAACCCCTCTCAGAACTCTTCGATATACACAGGCAGACTCAATGCCAATCAAGATCCCGCCAACAAGATTGAAGGGCCTGGGCGACCGCGTTCAGATCGCCGCGGTTGACGGTCTGCTCTTCTGGTCGGCATCCTAAAAGTGCTCCTGTCGTCTCAAGGTCGGCATCCTTGACTCCTGCTCCCCGCCCAATCCTCCTGAGCCTTGAGTCCATCGGGAACCGTCCTCCTCCAGCGTCGGTCCCTGCCAGGAACTTCCCATTGATAGGGCCCCCTTGAATCATGAATGACCCCGTGGCTCCGATGGTGGCTCGGGGTGGGTGTTGCTCCAGACCTCCGATGTATGGAAAAATCGATTGGCTGCAGTCCTCGTCCCCACTTTTTGTCTCCGCAGCCTTGGCCACCAAGAGCTGCGACTCGAGAATGGCAAGGCCGGAGCTCCGACCCAAGACTGGGTACGTCCAGGCGCGGTGCAGGTCGTCCTCCACCGCCGCACCGCTTTTGGGACAACGCGAAGGCGGGCATGGCTTGCACCGGTGTGCGCAAGCATTGGAGCATATCGAGCCCTTCCCGATGGTGTGCAATGCCTTGGCCACTGTGGGCTCATCGTCCTTCCGAAATTTTTGGCATGTAGCGTGGAACTGGTGCGTGTCGATCCCGAACTCAGCTCCCCCTCCGAGGTGAAAGGTTGAAGCCCGCTCCCAGAATGTATACCACACGTGCATACTGAAGGCCTCAAGAACTCGGCTTCCCCCATTAAGGTCCCCAGGAGAGAACTGAAGCGTTTGGTCCCCAGGGAGAATCCACGGCCCCACCACATGTAGGTTGAGGTCATGGAGGGAGGCGATGAGGACGGAGTAAAGAGAGGTGGCCTTACTCTAGCGCGTCTTGCCCACCAGACGCTCAACTGCGGGGCACCATCGCTTGACAATGGCCTTATGCAACTCGGGCTGTTGGTTAACGAGCTCAAGCCAGGCGGCCACCACCCGCATAGGCAACACATGTGCAGGATCTTTCTGCTGCCGGCCTCGAGCTGACAGAGCGAAACCTGCGGTGGTGCAACCATATCGGGGAACATAGCCGAGTCCACGAACGAGCCCGCCACGGACTTGCTTGAGGACGGACGGGGCGATGCCCTGCCCCTGGTGGCCCCAGAACACCTGTGGCCTAGCTCCTGTGCCCACCAACGTCCTACAACGTTTGGTGGCTTTGGTCAGCTGGGTGATCTTCTTGAGCCTCTGGAGCCCCTTCCCAATACTTTCTTTACGGGTCTTGAGCCTTCTGCGGAGTCCCATGGTGGTGTCCAGGCCGAGCGAGGTCCCTCCGCTGGGTGCTGGTGTTGACGATCCATCCCAAATTTCTGGTCTCCTGGCTGATCTGGCTCCCGAATCCTGGTAACGAGGCAAGGGCTCCTCCTCCTCGTCCTCCTCCTCCTCCTCCTCCTCCCCGTCCTCGCCCTGCTTCTCTTCCCTCGCCATCGTCGCTGTCGTCGCCTCGAGCTCCGTAGGTCCTCGGAGGCCGGCCCCCGCGGAGGCCCACAGGAGGGCACGCAAAAAGCTCACGAAACTCCACCCTCGGGGGGTGAAAGGAGTATCTGCGTTCCTTCGGCTCATAATTCGGAGGGGTGTGTATAAGCCGCCATTCCGGAATGCCTTTCCCAATTTGTGGGGGCGCCATTCCGCCGCGCGTTCGAGGGCAAACGTTCGCGCCAACTCGCAGGCCACATTCCAATTTCTGAACTCGACGAACGTAGCTACCAAACACTCATGCGCCCGCCGAGCGTCGCTATCAGATTTGTCCAGCATCCCGCAAGCCGGCGACGGTAGGTTCCGAAGAGGGAGGGAGGAGGGGGGGATGCCACCTTGCATTCATCCTCTATCCTGAGGTCTCCGAGGTCGTCTCTTCCTTCTCCTCCTCCTCCTCCTCCTCCTCCTCCTCTTGCTCCTCCTCCTCCTCCTCCTGCTCCTCCTCCTGCTCATCCTCCTCCTCGTCCTCCTCCTCCTGTGTTCCTGCTCCTCCTCCTCCTGTTCCTGCTCCTCCTCCTCCTCCTCCACCTCCTCCTCCTCCTCCTCCACCTCCTCCTCCTCCTCCTCCTCCTCCTCCTCCTCCAAGGGGCCGGCACGAGCGTTCCGAGCAGCGCCTCGGAGGTGGCCACGCACACCTCCACGCTGAGGCCCTGCACGCTGCGCAGCGCGAGCACCTCGGGCACTCGCGCCGCCACATTTTTGCAGATGAGGAGAACGCGGTGGCGAGCACGGGGGGGAGAAATGGGAAGGAGAAGGCCTTGTCAGAATGCGACGTGATGCGGCGTGGCCTCTCAGAAACCCTCCGGCCTTCTGAAAAGTTCTCTGTCTTCGGAAAAGGCTGAGACAACCTTTCAGTCGGCCCGAACACGGGCTCACCGCCGAGAGACGGGAGCGACGGCAGAGCCCATGACTCGTTCCGCACGTGCGAAGTCGAATCAGAATATAGAAGGCAAAATGGGCAACGCGGTTGCCATGTTACGGGCGCCGCAAACAAGCCAGGATGCGCGCGCCGTCATCTACATAAAGTCAACTTAGAAAGCAACTCACGAAAGCTTCTGCTCGTACCCATGGCGCCCCATAGCGCGCCCAATCGCAAGCCAAGCAAACACACTGCATCCTCCCCTTTCACATGGCGCAATTGGGCGGAATTGGTCGCCATGGGGCGCAATGTGTGTGCTTTTCGGCGCTACTGGGCGCTACCTGGCGCGAATTTTTCGCCGATGCGCGCTCAAACCAGGACTTGCAGAAGCATCCCTGATTTACTGTCGACCTTTTTTGCCTCTCAGTTAATTTCCCCTACACTCGGGGGTTGGTGCGCAAGGTGCCGCATGCTGTTCGCACCATTTTGGAGCTCCAGGTGCCTTCTGTGCCTCGTGAGGGGTGCTCTGGAGGCATTGGGGCTCTTTTAGTTGCACTCGAGAGACTTTTGGCAGCTGACCCCGAGGATCGCCCCGTGCGGCTGCAGCTGGCCCCCGATATGCGGGGAGAGCGGCGCGCCGCCGCAGAGCTGGCTACACCCTGCCCCAGGCGACTGATTTGTTCCCAACCATCCTGTGGTGTTGGGTCCTCGTTTTGAAGAGACGGTCCCCGCGTTCCTCCTTCTCCTCCTCCTCCTCCTCCTCCTCCTCCTCCTCTCCCTTCTCCTCCCTCCTCCCGTCACCCCCGACACCTTGCCACACCCTTCACACGCTTCGTGGCCCCAGCGGGAGCTTCACCTAGGGTCCCAGTGGCGGAGCTCGCATGGCATGCCCGCCCCATTTTGGCATGCACCTCACACATTTCGTAGCCCCATGGGAGCTCCACCGAAGGTCCCACTGGCGCAGTTCGCATGGCATCCCCGCCCCATGTGGGCACGCCCCTCACACGCTTCGTCGCCCCATAGGGAACTCCACCTAAGGTCCCAGTGGCGCAGCCCGCATGATATCCCTGCCCCATTCTGGCACACCCCTCACACGTTCCGTGGCCCCATAGGGAGCTCCACCTAAGGTCCCACTGGCGCAGCCCGCATGGCATCCCCGCCCCATTCTGGCACACCCTCACACGTTCCGTGGCCCCATAGGAAGCCCCACCTAAGGCCCCAGTGGTGGAACTCGCAAGGCATCCCCGCCCCACTTTGGCACTCCCCTCGCACGTTTCGTGGGCCCATAGGGAGCTCCAGCTAAGGTCACAGCGTCGGAGCTCGCATGGCGGCCCCGGGCCATTGCGGCACACTCCTCAGACGCTTCGTGGCCCCATAGGGAGCCCCACCTAAAGTCTCAGTGGCGGAGCTCGCACGGCGGCCTCGGGGCATTTCAGCGCACCCCTGACGAGAATCGTGGCCCCACAGGGAACCCCACCGAAGGCCTCCGCGGCAAGGTTCGCACGGCGGCCCTGGGCGATTTCGGCACACCCCTGACGAGGATCGTGGCCCCATAAGGAGTTCCACCGAAGGCCCCAGTGGCAGGGTTCGCAAGGCGGCCTCGGGCGATTTCGGCACACCCGTCGCGAGGATCGTGGCCGAGCTTCGCCGAAGGCGCCAGCGGCAGGGTTCGCATGGCGGCCTCGGGGCATTTCGGCACACCCCTCACAAGGATCGTGGCCCCGCAGGGAGCTCCGCCGGAAGCGCCAGTGGCAAGGTTCGCATGGCGGCCTCGGGCCATTACGGCACACCCCTGACGAGGATCGTGGCCCCATAGTGTGCTCCACCGAAGATGCCACTGGCAGAGTTCGCATGGCAGCCTCGGGCTATTTCGGCATACCCCATCCCGAGGATCGTGGCCCCATATGGAGCTCCACCGAGGACCCCAGCGGCAGGGTTCGCAGAGCGGCCTCGGGCCATTTCGGCGCACTCCATCTCGAGGATCGTGGCCCCATAGGAGCTCCACCGAAGGCGCCAGTGGCAACTTCCCTCATGGCTTTCAGAGCCCTCTCCTGCTTCTGCTCCTCGGTGAGGGGGGCGCCCTCCTCGTCGTCGTCGGCGCCCGCGAAGACGGCCGCGAACGCGTCCCTGAGCATGTCGGGCCCCGGCGGGAAGCCGTGGCCACATAGGGGGCGTGGGCGAAGATGGTATCCACAATTGCGGTATTCACAACTGTGTATGGTTGGGTCTTTCGCCAGGCTGATTCCAAACCGTCCTGTGGCGTTGGGCCCTCGGTTTGAAGAGACGGTCCCGCGTTCCTCCTCCTCCTCCTTCCTCCTCCTCCTCCTCCTCCTCCTCCCTCCTCCCCGTCCTTGCCTTTGCTCTCCGCATGTCTCTATCCGGGCACACCACTCACACTTTTCGTGGCCCCGCAGGGAGCTCCAACTAAGGTCCCAGTGGCGCAGCCCGCATGCCATCCCCGCCCAATTCTAGCGCACCCTCACACGTTTCGTGGCCCCACGGGTAGCTCCAACTAAGGTCCCAGTGGCGCAGCCCGCATGGCATCCCCGCCCCATTCTAGCGCACCACTCACACGTTGCGTGGCCCCATAAGGAGCTCCACCTAAGGCTCCAGTGGCGCAGCCCGCATGGCATCCCCGCCCTAGTTTGGCGCACCCCTCGCACGCTTCGTGGCCCCATAGGGAGCTCTCCAGTGGCGCACCCCATCACACGTTTCGTGGCCACATAAGAAGCTCCAGCTAAGGTCCCAGTGGCGCAGCCCGCATGGCATCCCCGCCTCATTCTGGCGCACCCCTCGCACGCTTCGTGGCCCCATAGGGAGCTCCACCTAAGGTCCCAGTGGCGCAGCCCGCATGGCATCCCCGTCCCAGTCTGGCGCACCCCATCACGCGTTTCGCGGTCCCATAGGGAACTCCAACTAATGTCCCACTGGCAAGGTTCGCATGGCGGCCCCGCCCCATTTTGGCACACCCCTCACACGGTTCGTGGCCCCATAGGGAGCTCCACCGAAGGCCCCAGTGGCAGGGTTCGCATGGCGGTTTCGCCCCATGTTGGCGCATCCCTCACACGGTTCGTGGCAATATTGGGAATTCCCCTTGCTCCGTCCTACCTGCCCTTCGGTACTCACATTTGCATATAGTTGGGTCCTTCGCCCGGATAATTCAAGGAGAAACGTTGGCGGCGCGCACAACGGGATAACCCCCACTTCCGGATAATCAATGACCCCCCATTTCGTAGTGAGTGTTGATTATCCACAGCCAGTGCAGCCTTGGTCAGGGAAGGGAGACGGCAAGCACGAACTTGTTTATCGCGTGGGGAAGCTCGGAACGAAATTACTCTCTTCTTATGTTGGGTAGCAAGGACTCCTAAGGATTCCGATTGATTTCCTCAAGAATCCGATAGCGGTGCTAAGGAATCCTATGGATGTCCTACGGATCCCGAAGGATTTCCAAAGGATTCCCATGAATGCCGGAACGCAACCGATGAATGTCCTACGGGGCCCTAAAGCAATCTGACGGAATTCATTAGGAATGCTGCGCACTTCCTCCGGAATATCATGGGTTCCTTAGGAAAGATTATATATGTATGACTTCAAAAAGTCCATGGGATGGTACCGGGATTCCTCCTCCTCCTCCTCCTCCTCCTCCTCCTCCTCCTCCTCCTATGGATTCCCTAAGGATCCCTGAACATGTCCTACGGCAATCAATGGATTCGCTTGGGAATCCCATGGCTGTCCTTAAGAATCCTAAGGATTGCTTCAGGAATCTGGTGGATTTCCTAACCCACGGGTTTCTGCGGGCTATCCAATCGGTACCCAAAGGAATCTTATGGATTCCCCATGGAGCCCGATGGACGTCGTAAGGGCATCCCATGGATGTCCTAAGGGATCCGATGGATCTCCTAAGGACCTCGATGGTTTCTCCATTCTTCTCATGGACGTTTAGGACCATCTTGATCATCATCATCATCATCATCATCATCATCATCATCATCATCATCATCATCATCATCATCATCATCATTTTCATCATTATGCTGAGATTTCTGGGAAAACGTTTACCATCCCCCTGGACCCCAAACTTTCTTCTCCCCAGGGGCTTATTATCTGGAGCTTGGGGTTAGGGGGACACTTCTTAGAAGGAACCTGAATGTGCCAGCCTTATCTATAGATTTAAGGCCGGCGCCTTCTAAGAAGCAGCCTCTTTCTAAGAAGCATCCCCCCACTGCCCCTACTCCCCTTTGCGTGTGGCCGAAAGGTGTGAGCGGATACCGCAGCCCCTCGAGGGGGCAACCATCGCAACGGAAATGCTCTACAGTGGCTGGCTGGGTAAACTAGCGCCATCACATGCGCTGCCCCTCTGGGGGGCCGTCATCGCATTGGAAGTGCTCTACAAGGGCTGCCCAGATTAAGGTCACCACTCTGAGGGCCACGGGAAATGAGAGACGAGACGTGTCACCATGTTTCGGCAATGTGTGAGTGTTAATGAAACTAAAAGCCTCCCTCATGAGGTCTGTTCAGATGGGGTCGGAGGATCGCGCCGCATCGCCTATGCAACGGCGATGCGTCGGCGATGCATCGGCGACGTCGGCCATGCACTGGCGCCGTCGGCGAAGGAAAAGTCGGGCTCCACATCGAGCGGCATCGCCGATGCATCGGCGATGTGGCGCGATCCTCCGGCCCCACTCCTGCTCGGACTCCACACCTGGGACCCCCGTCGTCGCCCGCGGCCGCCTGGTGCGCAGGCACGGTTCTGGGGCCGCCGGTCGGTCGCCGCCCGTGGCCGCCGCGTGGCTCCATCATGCGCTGGCTGGCGCT